GGCAGCTTTGCAGCGCAGTCCCGGGCAGGGAGGTGGGGAGGCTGCCAACGCCACAGCGTAGACACAGCGCTGTCTTTGTGCAGCCCCACGGGCAGCCCCGTCCCCCCTGCCCCGCTCCAAGGATCCAGAGCTCCCTCTGCCCCACATTCCCAGCTGTCAGGGGGCACAAGGGGAGAGCGCAGCATCCCATGGCACAGCTGGATGCGGCAAAAGTCGCCGCTCTGAGCCAGCAGCAGTAAAAGCAGCTGCCCCACATTACCTGGCCAGGATTTGGCCAGGTACCAAGGCCACATTGTCATGAGAAAGCTCTTTGCAATGGTGGTCACGCAATGTCAGACAGCACTTGGAAAGTGCCCCATGAACTTTATCAGTTCAGTGCCAGCAGTTTGTGTGGACAGAGGGTCTTCTGGCRTTCAGCAACAACAAAACCACCCACRCCTCCYCACAACAGCAGGAAGAGAGRAGTTCTATCTAAAGAAGCCTTCAGTCTTTCACTTTTCTGAACATTAAGGTAGGAAAAATTCTAAGTTTTTATTTGAGATATGATAACAGTAGAAAAAGGATGGCAACAACCCCCCGAGCAAAGTGCAAGATAGTCACTGAAATCACATAAGGGATTTCACTAACCAGCTGACAAATATACTGCATGCACTTCTGGAAGAAAATCCAGATCAGCATCCCTGACTGTTGGTAGTGCAGAATGGAAGACTTGGACCATTAAGGTTCCTCAATCCCTTTGCTTGGGACCATGAGATCTGACGAAATTATAAATATTGATGCAATTAGCCAGTTTTCATTACTTACTAAAAATAATTATGATAAATAAAAAGAACTTTATACAAAAGGGTTCATGTTCCTTTTYCTTTATGGAAGAAATATTACTGAAAATAAAGAACAAAAAATCTTAGGCTGAAAGTCAGTCAAAAAATCTGAACTTACAGAACAATCATCCCACTCATAAGTGTGGGTATGGAAAGGGATGTGCTTAGCTTCATTAATAAAAATAATGATAAGTATGAGCCAAGGGGAGGATAAATGACAAATGAGAGGAAAAAATTCCCATAAGAGCAYTCATTTAAAGAAAAACGCTGAAACCTAAAAGATGTTGATAGCTGCTGCTAACATCGATAACCCACTTCCTTACAATAAAGAGGTGAAAAGGAAGCAACAGAATTAAAAAATAATTATAGCAAATAGATGTTTTGAAAGAATAGAACCCCTTGTATCCCTTGTATGGGCACGGGCTACATAGGAATAGCTGGATCTCCCTCACGTTACTTTGGGCTCCTGAATCCTTGGGATGTCAGGGTTTCTCTCCCCGCCGGCTGTGAGGAAGAGCCAGCCGGAGCCAGCGCCCTCCCGCCAGGGCTGCATTGATGGTTATCTAAAAGCAGGGGTGTAAAACCAAGCACAGCCATTAATGGGAATGGTTGGAGGCAAAAGTTGAGCTTTTAACTGCTCGCTGCGGGGGAAAAGCTTTGTTTCTCTTCAAAGGTGGGGGCTGCTGCCAAAGCGCTCCACTTCCCCGTCCGCAGCGCAGCCTCTGCGCCCCAAAAACTGCCAGTCGGGAAGAAGGATCTTTCTGTGTCTGCTTGACTTTAATTATCAGGGAAAAGCCGAAGTACCAGTGAATGTTCAATCAAGTCTCTCTTCTCCGAGAAAGGGGTAAAAAAAAAAAAAAACTAATTAAAAATCCAATAAAACATTGGATTGCACATTGTATGAGGAATTAGTATGGAAAACCCTGGCAGTATTGTCTTGTAAATCAATGGCTCAGCCTCRCTGAAATGCTACATTTTGATCAATTCTTTAAAAATCATCAAACAGCAAAGAGCACACAGGAGAGCTGCTGAAAACAGTCTGTGGATGCAGAGGCTTCAGAGGGCTGGCTGGGGACACGGACACTGCCTTAGGAAGAAAAGAGGTTTTCAGGAACATCCTGAGCCAGGGGCTGCATTTAATAACCATCATTTAATCATCAGTTTGTGCCCAATCCTTCAGGTATTATGACGGTCGATTCAGGTTTTATAGAAAGAGCTCTGTCAGGCCCTTTTTTAATCAATTTAATCCATTTACAAAGTTCTTGTATTGAGATATTTTTGGTGACAGGAAGTCTACACAGCCTTTGAAATTTATTACTACTTTTGTATATTTTATCCAATTCAAGGCCAAGTTTGTTTGAAAAAAAGATAATTCTTGTACAACAGTGTTTGATATGAATTATGCRGTATCTTCTGYYCYGCTCTGGCAGGTACCCCACAGCAGYCCCRCTGCTGTTTGGCACAGGGAGMATCTCATTACCTGCACAAAGGTGACAGCAGCTGTCGGTGCCCTTGYGGAGCTGAGGGATGCTCTGAACAYTGCTGCCKGTCCATCRGGTGCCTTTACTGACAATCTGATCACCAGTATCTCATAAATCCTCCCTGATGTACTTAYGGTCTTTAGCATTTCTGATTATAGATTTGCCAGGGTTTCTTTCAGCTTCATGCACTCTCTGCAATTCACCACTGTTCATTTAAATCCACCCATCTACCTTTGTCTTTTTTTGACACATTTTTCATATATAATTTTATTGCTGTGTAGATTTCATTCAAGGGGGATGAGTTTGATAAATCTGACTTCTGTGAAGAATTGTTTCTGTTTACGGAGGAGAGAAGAGGGCAGATAGTTCATTGAGCTTTTGTAAAGGCTTCTCTATTATTGCCTTATTTTTTTATAAAATATGTTTTCCTTCCCAGTCACTTTTGCTCAGAATTGTCTAAATGGCATAAAATATATGCTTTTTCAATTGCCAAACATATCAAAGAAAATTAGTTCTTGATAGCATGAGAAATTACAGATAACAGCTCAGCAGGACTCAAAAGAGAGCAGGCRTCTATGCAGGCATTCAGACCTTTCCAGAGCAAGATAAAGAACTTATCAAACTGGGAACAGTCTCGTGCTGTAGGGCACAAGGCAATGGCCAGGGTCACCAATTCAAGGGCTCCAGGAGCCCCAGCTGCCCAAAGAGCTCTGGCATCTCCCCAGTAAGACAGCTCTATCATGGTTTGAGTGCACACACCAGTCTCTATTGCTTCCAGAGCCTCACGGGAGAGGTACTCTGTTGCTCTGCCTCTGGATGGAACCTGCTTCACACTCACTCCTCCATGGGTTTATGTCAGGAGCAGGAGGGAAAGTGACTTTCTTTGCCAGGTTTCTAAAAAAAAGTAGATCCTACTCTGGAAAAGGATGGACGCAAACTCAAAGAGTGTGCACAGTCATTGTTGTCACGTACATTCTCCCCCTGCTTTTGTTTCACACGGCTATTTTCAGCTAGAGGTCCTGCTCTGATGCTGCAGYGTTGGGGGAAAAGCCTCAGGAGACATCAAACCCTTCACTACAGGTTCTGCAGTGCCCTGGACTTGTGCTCCAGGCTACCAACAAATCTGTAAAAAATGGCAATCAAATTTCAATCATACATTGAATGTATGATTTACATACTCTGAATTTTTTGAGAAACAACCTTAGAGCAGGGAGGTACCACAGACTAGAGGAGATGTATGCAGTGTCCAGTTGAAAAAGGGGAAAGAAATGCAGCTCCACAAGGCAACGGAGGGAACTCGCTGCCGGCAGCAGAAGTTTTGGCAGGGATCACCAGACAACTTGCTCCAGTGGAACTGTTTGGAGAAACAGTTTGTGTGTTGATCTGAGCCTTGTGATACAGTGTCCTGGTAGATGCCTTCTGCTTCTGGGTCCCAACCTAAGGCTGGTATGTAGCATGCCCTGAAAATGGCATCTCTAATGAGATACTCCAAACCACTGTCCACTTCCAAAAACCTTGGAAGGAAGTCTTTATCTAAGAAAAGCTCAAAGCCATTTATCATCACCACTGTGTTACCACTGCCTTGTATTTCAAAGGTTGTGTTTCTGCTGTTGAAACACGAGGTTTTGCACAGCTGGTGGGAGGGAGGAACAGGAAGATTCAGAGTCAGGTGGGCACAGGTCAGTGGAAACATGGCATTCAGTGGCACAATCAAGAAGGTAAATATCTCCTGAGTTCTCAATTTAGGCAGAGAAATAAATATTACCAGAAGCATTATCAGCAATTTTTATAGAGCAGTAAACATTAACAAACCCACTAATTTTCAGAATTTCTTTTTGTCTGCGTGGAAATTCTGTGCAGCTGGATAATCCAGGAGGATTGCCAGGAGGATTGCCTCTCATTCCTGAGAGGGAGCCTCTGCTGATCTACTGAAGAGTAGCCAAAGCTGTTTCAAAAACTCAGTGCTGGACATTCCAGCAGCACTCRCTTGGCGCTTGGGGGAAGGCTGAGGCTCTGAGGAAGATCCAAGCACAGCCACAYACTGTACAGCCAGAACTACCCACAGCAATCCTGACCTGCCCTGGCAGCACGAGCCTGAACCGTGCACAGAGCTCTCTGGAAAACGCTGGCTACCAACACTGCAGCACAATCTAACATACATCCCTGCACCTTCCCACAATTACACTGTTTCCTTCAGCACSAGTCTATTCTTCCTCTCTGTAGATTTATTCTCGGGTTATGCAAGTTAAGGCTGGGGCCAACACGCCCTGCCCTGCAGTCACCCAGGCAACTCCGACAAAAGATTTCACTTTGCAATTCATTCATCGCTTGAATTCTCCAAGCAAAATGAAATGCAGAATTTTTTTAGCCAACAGTGTTGTTGAAATTCTGGAGACCTCGGTTTCATGCACCATTTGTACGTTTTGCACATCAGCAATGACACCCTCAGCTTCATATAAACAAGTATCACTGATATCCTTGAGTCTCTCAGTGTAGGTGGCAGAGGCTGCACACCCTGGAAAAAGTGAAAAACTACTATCAAAGTACAAAGCCAGGAGCTGCTACTCGATGTGCACACACCGATTTCCTACGCAACCCTGGGCTCTCCAGAGAGTAACATGAAGCAGTGCCGGGCAACGATCAGGGCAGTGATGCACAGAGGCAGTTGTTTCTTTATGTTATACCTCAGTTTGCAGAAGGAGAGATGTATTATCAGGGGGAGTGGGGGGGAGAGGAAGCAGGGGATGCAGGAGTAAGAGAAAATTAAATGCAAGGCAGTTTCTAATCAAGCAAGGATTATCCATTCAGGATGCTGAGGGGGACACCGCTCACCAAAAAAATGTGTTACAATTTATTAACACAACCACAGGGAGCAATTGAGCCCTTAACCTGGCGTTTCTTAACTTGGGTTCCTGACTTTCCCCATGCTGCTTTCTCACTTAGGCACAAGCTCWACAACTCTGCAGAGGTGGCACAGACACACCAGAACCTGCAGGACCAGCCACCCCAAGCCCTCAGAGCTCCGTGGGGAAGGAGCATCGCGGGAACCTCTGTGCAGTGTCCAAGTAAGAAACTACAGAACTGAAGGTGTTCTCACCTGCACAACCCAAGCTATCTTCCTGAGGCCTACAGAAAGAGCTTTAGATCTTAGAGGTTGATGTATCACTTTAGCGGACATGAAATATCAAACTTACCAAAAGCAGATTCCCAAACATAGGAACAAATTTTCTTGAATAAGAAAAGTTTACTGTAAAATATACGCTATTTCTTACAGTAAGTCAGTAAGAGAAATACTAAGAAGAAAATGTGAGGAAATTATTTAAAAGATCATTCTTTTGATTTCTCTTAATGATTAGGAAACCAGCCTAGGAACTAGTTTTAGTTTCCTTTTACTAGAATAGTCCACTATTCATTGTTGGTTCAGGGATGAAAATCAAAATAATAATGACACCGCTCCATATGCTTCTTTTTGTTGCAACATTGCAGAATTCTTTGTATTTGGAATGTCCCTAAAACTTGGTTTTATATACTTTTAATTACCTCATTGTGTGTGTACAATTTGTGTGTATATATATATATATATATATATATTTTTTTGCATATAGTTTTTCAGGCCCTACATAAATGGAAAACTGTTCATTAAAATCATTACACCACAGAAAACTGAATAGCATTTTTATTCTTTACAATATATTTATAAAAATAATTCCAGGAATGCTTTGACTGCCACTGTTACAGCTCACAAAAATATCGGCACTGTAGAAACTGTGAATTATTATTAAGTAAGTACAAAACTGTTAACCCAGGGATTAAACTATTTCAGGGCAAAGTGATATTTACAGAAGAATTTTTATTACTTTTGTTACTTTTGTTACTTCAAAGCACATCATTACTACATATAAAGGTTTGCAAAGAAATGCTACTCTTGAATCTCCCACATTCTTCAGAACACAGACTTTGGAATATTTTCAAAATTCAAAGAAAGATCTCATTCAATAACTGAGATTCTGTTGACATTAGCAGTAAAACTTCAGTTGACTTTAGGATTTCAGGATCAGGCCCTGGCTGTTTCAGCTTTTTAATATTTACGTCACTAAAAGCATATGCCACTATTTTTTCAATAAGTAGTGTAAATCTGATAGCATATTTTGTTTTCTTTGCTTTCAATTAACATCACATTTCTTTTCAAAACATTCAAGTAACAAYACTCCCTATAAAAGTGTTGAGCGATAAACCAAGAAGTCCAGTAAAATTAAAAAAAAAAAGAAAGTTTACAGCCCCAGTGAAACCATTTAATAAGATGGATTAACCCAATTTTATTTTTGAGCCCTTCAAACAATGAATAGTCTTGTAAGATATATTTGCCACTGGATGACATAACCACAAAAAAGGATAACATACTTTGGACTGTCTGGCAGGTTTGGAAGATTATCTTTTCTAATGTAAACCTCTGGACAAATCTCAGCAGCAGTAAATCTAATAAACTTTACTAAGACCTTTAACTCTGGCGCTTTAACTTAACTTTAAAATACATTTTTAAAGCTTTCATGTATTTCTTAAAAAYGTATTTTTAATTTTAGAATCCCTGGGTAACTTCCAGGGTTTAATTTGCTATTAATTACCACAATGCATGCTAACCAACATCCCCATCTCAAATTRTCAAAGCATAAAGGGCAATTCCAAKYRAACTTAARTAGCACAGACATTCCAGCAGGCAGGTAAATAATCTGCCCTCGAAACACTGCTGAAACATTAAACAGTATGCACATTTAATTTAAACATCTCTACTAACTGCAACTCTCTGAATTTTCTCAGTAATTTGCATGTATGGCTAAGAAGAATTTCACCWYAATGCATGAAGTAGTCAACTTCTCWGCAAAACCTGCCTCACTCACAGTTAATCACAGTTAGCATTGGAAGCGTCCCCTTACAGATAAAACAGATTATACTACCAGAGACTGTTCTAAAAACGTTATCTATAAAGCTGTCTGCACACACAATACACATGAAAACATTTGACAGAGTAGGTTTTTATGTCCSTGTGGTAATGTAACACTCCAAGAAAAGATGCATACATGGTTTAGTAACCCTTACCTTGCCCTCTGCACATCCAGGTGGCTTGTCCACCTCCTCCTCCTGTGTTTTCTGCTTTCCACGAGAAGAACTAAGCAGAAGATTAATAAAAGGAGTTTTGCGAAATAAGGCATCTTGCTGGAAATGGGAGCCGGGCACTCTGCACTCCAGTGACCTCCTGTAGTACAAGTTCCCCCGGGCTTAAACATTGAATCAACTCTAATTCCAGCGTGGCGCGTTGGTCGGCGATCAGTGGCAGAAACGCCGCGTTCCCGGCGTGATGCGTTTGACAGCCTTTCATGGGCTTCACACTCACAGCTCTTCCCTCATCGCCGCTTAATGATTGGCCATTACCCACCAAGTTTGCCTCACTAAATATTTCCACTGGGTCCTAAAGGATACTCACTAAAGCCATTATATAAAAACCCGCAATTCGGCACGCCGGCTTTTTGCTCAATCCCCTAATCTCAGTGCTATCCTCCAGCCAGACTGTAAAACCAGGCTGYCCCTTTTCATTAGGCTTTCCACGATTTTTGATCCTCTGTACGGCATCTTTTTCAACTGGTAACTGCCTGTGCCACGTTTCAGACATGTATCTCACTGTAAAATGTTTGTATTTTAATGGATTTAGRGCAGTTGAGGTTTTATTTTCTGTCTGGCTCTTCAGGCTGTTGAAGACAGAATATGAGCTATGTCCTCTGAAAATGCTGACTTTATTTACCGTTAACTTTAATGGAAAAGTGAAACAGTAACTCCCACTCTATACATGCAACTGTCTTTTCATAAACCATATCCCCTTTTCKTTTAAATACCTATTTGCACAATCAAGCATTTTAACTTTTATCAAAGATCAAAACTAAAATGCAAAGATTCAGAACAGCTATTTCTTTAATCACAAGGAAGAGACTGTTTCCAAAATCCATTCAAGGTTTATTTCCYCACAGCTTGGTCACAGGGCAATGCTGATTTTGCCTCTCTGCAGAATACCAGGCTGTGCTAACAGTGTGGGGTACAGGTATGAGGGCAAAAGTCTGCTTGGGACAGCAGAGTTTCTGCAGGAAAAGAAAAGCACATTCAGAGCAAAACTTCCAGAGGAGCAAGCGACTCAATGCCCAGCAGAATTGTCTTGTGGGTCAGATCTCTTCCAGACTTCTCTTCTGTAAACCCATGTTTGCAATACTTGAATTCAATAGGGATTCAGGCACCACACCAACAAGGGAATTCAGTACTTCCATTTCAGAGGCTACAGGATCTAAAGATGTTTTTTAGGGTTTTGGGGTGGGTTTTTTGAGGGGAATTTGTGTACTGGCTTTTGCTTGGTTTTATTTAATTTCTAATGAAATATGCAAATTAGGTTAAAGACATTAATTAATATATTGACATCAAATTGGTCTGCAGCAGAAAGTGTAACTGCTGAACAAAGAGATGTTTTTGTCTGAACTTATGATAATTATTTTTTCACCTTTGTTTCATTATACATGCAAACAAGATTAACAATACAGAAAAGCACTAATAGACTGAGTTTGGGATTTTTCACAAATTTATACATCCCCCTTAGACAGAAAATAGCTTTCCTTATTTTACAAGTTGTTACAGCTACTTTCATTTTGCAAAATAGTAATATATATTATAATTAACAATATTTAGGAAAGTTCTAGGTAGCTTGATAAATACTTGGTGAAAAACAGGATGAGAATTTCACTTAAGTCAGTGCCATCATGTTTGACAGCAACAAAATGAAAGCTAGCTAAATTTCTTTGTCTTTGAAATAAACATGCTGAACTATAATTTGAACAATAATACAAGAGGAAAATAATCCCACTCATTGCTTTCCTCTACTTCAGTATTTTAAGTCACAGACAAAACCTCTTAAAACCCTAACCATTGTAGGCCTACTGCTTACATATGCCTTTTCACAGTATGCATTAATATTACCAGGAACTTTTAAAATAAGCTTATAGTAAGTAGACCTCTGGGTCCAAAATCTTGATTTTAGGTTAAAAAAAAAAAAAAAAAAAAACCACATTGAAAAACCCCCAAAAATAACAAAGACCGACCAACCAACCAAACAAAAGAAACCCCCGAACAAAAAGCCCAACCAATCAAAAAAAAAACAGACAAAGAAGAAACAAACTGCCATGTGATACTTGAAACATATCCAAAGACTGGCTTGAAATTTTATTACTAGCATGGCTGTAATAAATACTTCTCTTAAGCATGTTCATATACATGAGAATTTAAGTATAATAAGGTTTAAATTTTCTTTAGTAAATAAAACCACATATGAAACATTCAGTTCAACACATTATGTATATTTCTGGTATAATTAAAAGACAATAGCTCTGGGTAAATAATTATATTACATATTTATAACTATTGCAAGAATAGACATGTTTCGTATCATCTTCAAATTTTAAAAACAAGATATACAATTGAAAGTACTAGAAGAGGACATTCAAATCTTTCAAAAGATTATCYAATCTTCAAAAAAAAWAAAAATCAAAAGAATGCAAGTAGTTCTCTGGTGCCTACTTTTTTACCGCACTCCTTTCCCCCTTCCACACACACAAAGMAGCATCACAACCAATTTGTATGTGTTCCTCCTCTGGAAATGTGTCATGGTAAATAAAAGTGGTTACAAAACTGTATTCCTTCTAAATTAAGAGTTCAGCAGACACAAACACATAGTAGTGTTTCATTTTATAATCCCCTCCTCAATGTCAAATCTTATACTAACTTAGATGGGGTATTTAGATGGGCACTTTTGCCCCATAAAAAAAACTAATCAACCACTTTTTAAAAATTGTCTTTTTCTAAGTTTATAAATGATCCAAATTTAGTCCCGTCCCACATGCCTYAACGTTACTATAACCTGCACTGTTTCTCCAAATATCTCGTGGGCACTCAATTAAAACTTGTCCTTGCATGTCCAACTTTGTTTTTCTCACAAGTAATTTATCTGTAGGTACTTTAACATTCATAAGGATTTAAGCGTAAATACAAAAAGTAACCTTTGTAAACAGTTCATGTCATAGCCAATACAGAACGTTCAGTGAAGCATTCGAGTCACTGTTCTTAGGACAAAAAACCTTATAACTCAAATATGTACTCGTTAGCCAAACATATTCTACGAAATATGAGAGCTGCCAGCGCAAAGGTCAGCAGGACAATGAGAACAGTTGATCCCGTGTGGTTGGTGTTGACTCTCGGCTGCTGTGCCCGGTTAAAGTCAGTTGAAGCTGGGGCTCGTCTCTGGCTCTGCTGCTGCGCGCGGCGCTGCCGGGGACTCAGCGAGGTGCTGCTGGTGGACACCGCTGGAGTACGCTCCTGGCCAGCCACTGCACTGCTGCTCTGAGCTTCAGACTGAAAATGCAACATTGAGACTTGTGAGATAAGACAGTGCATAAGATTAGCAAGAGATAAAATCATGAGGACTAAAAAGCACTCTTCAGACAATTGTTAATACATGTCACTAGTTATAGCTGTCATTTTTTTCCATACACTATCCTGAGAATAACTAYATTTCACGAGCTGAAAATTAGCAGTACTATGGACAAGAAAAGGCTGAAGGAAGTGTTTCAAACTATATTTGTGTTAAAGAGATTTCAAATATCTTTGTCTGGGATTTTTTTTAACTCTTTGCTGCCTGAGAAATATTTAATAATCCTCCAGATAGTTAAGTCTCTGAGAATTTGTAATATTACCTAYACTGAAGGGGAAACAAGTTGGGAAAGCCAGAAAAGGATGCAGAGAAGTCCAGGAAGTGTAATTAAGCAGTGCTGCAGTGCTACCTGAGGACAGYTGGGTCCAGAAGTCTRTTTTTATCACCACCACCAYTGAAAAAAAAMCMAAACAAAAATCCTAACCACAAACCACCTGCATGATCCCAGCAAGAGTTCCCGAGCACAGCACGTGTGCAGGCACTTACCTATTGCCCTCTACTGGTCAAACTCAGTCTGATATCATAAGTACTAAAAAATAACTTCAGCAAATGATGTTGTGCTCATCAGAGTTTTACTCTGAAGAAAAMAAGTTTCAATCTTATGAACTGGAAAATAGGAGATCAGGCCAGACTAGTACCGTACTAGACAGTACTTTTTAGTACTTCTTGCAATACTAAAAAGCTCAAACTTYCAGCGTTTAACGTTAAAAATAGTGATACAGCACAGTCATTAGAAACAAACACAGTAACAAGGTTCAGTTTAAGTGCTCAAAAAAAAAAAAAAAAAGCTCTGAGAAAAATTTCAGGGTTTTAAATTTTTAAGTCTTATTTCAGTCCTCAAAAGCATTTTCTGGTATTCCTACTTAAAGCAACTTGCAGCTACTTTCCAGAGTTGGCTTTCTCCCCCTTTCCTCATAAAAGATTATTGTTACAGCAGGTAATACTAGAATTCTGGACATTTTATATTTCTTTCCAAAGCCTTTTAAATGCGCACAATATCCACAACCTTAAGCACTGCTTCAGCCAGCTACTACATCTATAAGAGATATCCTTTCCATGTGACCAGATAGGAATGTCCTCAACTGCATAGCAAGTTTGACAATCCACAAGACAGTAAACASCGCTTGGTCTTGTGACTCTTCTGTRTGTGGACAAAGAATTTAAAATTTTCACCTAGTCAGTCATTTGTCTAGCCCAGAGAAGAGGCCTTTCATTCCTACTTCCTCATCATTAGTGTTTGTCACTGTTTATCATCAGCAAGAAGTACTGATGCAATTACTCGCCACATTTGACAACTTGCCTGTTTACCCAGGAGCCTTGCCTAAATCAGCGAAGCAGCTTRGGTAGCTTCAAAGAAAAATGTTTTTAAAAGATACATTTTATCACAAGAGACAGCCAAGAACACCACAGGCAGCTTGTCATGATTCCCAGAACACAGCAGAATAAAGTAATTCTGCTTCACACTCAACTCACTTGAAAACTCCTCATGCCAAGGAAAATAAAGACTTAGGGAAGCCAAGTCATTGAAAAATGAAGTTCCTAGATCCATCTACATTCCCATCATCCAGAGGGTGAGTGGGAGAGAAGTGAATTCAGGACACAAGAACTACCRATTCAGTAGACACTATTTTTCTTCTTCAGTTTTCAAAGAAATTAAAAAAAATCAAGAAATATTCCTAATCTTTCATCTTATTAACAAAAGTAACTAGCACTGGCTGTCACATCTTCTCAACACTGCAAAACTTWTATTTAAAATAAATCAGAAAGGCCCTGTTCTGAATAGAACAAACTGTCATACACTGACATGAACAGATCTGGGATTCAAGAGAAACCTCACTGACAATTTCAAGGCTTTCAGTTATTTTTCTGAAAAAGTTACAGATGGATTGGAGCTGCAGCAGACCAGCGGCTTCACCCAAAGCTCAGCTAATGCACCACCTGCAGATTCCCAATAACAACGATAATCAATCACCAACTATTACTGGACATGCAGAAGAAAGTTAGATAAAAAATGAGGGATCATTACCCAATATAAATTTGGGTCCAGGTGCTACAGTATCTTAGATAGACTGACAGACAGACTTTTTTTTAAGATTTGATTGTTAAGAATCCCATAAGTGGCAGATGGGCTGTACWATTTTTTTTTTTAATCACAATCGTMTTCAACTTAAAGRAAGTCCTTAAACTCMTCTTGAGCAAACATTGCAWGATYTKTAGACTAACACAACACCTCACATGACACAATTTCCATTAATTGTTTCTGCCAAACCATACTGGAAGTACGGATGAGTGCCGAAGACTAAAACCAGAAATATTTAGTAAGAGTTACATTATAGCAACCTTTAGACATCTAATATACACATGTGTCATATTATTACATATACTATTTATATTACTGTATATTATTTCTGAAGCTTCTTAAACTGTTAGGACAGGTAGAAAACTTTGCTTCAAGGACATCTGAGTCTGATGAACAAGGCTATTGTAGTACAGTGTATTAGAATTAACAAAAAACTCATATTGTCTTAAAAAGTACAAGTAAGGAAATTTATATCATGTTCAGTCTACTGAAGAATGGTAGCAGCCTGTATCTCTAGGCCATTATTTAAAAAAATTTTTATCAGAACACTAGAAAGATTAAATAACCATCTAAGAAGGGATGTTTTAAAAATACAGCAAACTCTAGGAACTCAGAACCCTATAAATCCTCTGGGTTACTGAAGCCTCTATCACTTACACTATAATGATCTGGGGAAAGATTCAGAGAACAGGATAGGTGAAATACGTGTTTGTCTGTACAACTTCCAACTGAAGAAATGCCAGAGCTTGACAGAGCATGGCTTAAATATGAAAAATGTCTATTTTTTAACAAATCAAAGTTGGGCCAAGTACTCTCAAYTGTCAAGACATTTAAAATTGTTGCTGTAGTATTATGAAACTAAGACACCACTTAACAGAGATAAAGGGAAACACTTTTTATYAGCCTATCATTCAGAAATTATTAAAATTAAGGGCTTCTATAAATTTCATGCATCAGAACACAGCCTCATTTTCTGACAAAAATGTCCWTCATCAGCTCAAGAGTAGCTGGCTTCAGTTAACACTGTTAATTTTATCACCCCTCATAATGCTTCACGCAGCCACTGTGATCAGTGCAGGTCACTACTACACGATATTGTTTAATAACAGGTGTACTCAGGTTTAATGTATTCCCAGGTTATCAGAAAACAGTCTAACCACAGCTTTCACCTTGTTACTTGATAAACCTTATAAAGCATCAACTGTATTCATTAGCTGTAAGCCCCAARGTGGGACATCATTCCATATCAATAYACCAAATTTATTGCTACAGATCTGTTCAGACACCCATAATCCACATGGATTTAGTTGGTGCAATCAGGGGGGCAGACAGAGAAATGCAGCCTACCAGCCCCTGCTTCTCAGTAAACTGCATTGATCTCCAGCAACCACTGTCGAGTCCCACAGACTGTGATTGCAGTTTTGGTACCAAAATTTAGGTGACCACTGGACCTGAGTCCAACCGAGTATCTATAACACATTCCTTCAAAAATATGTTTTGCTCAGATGTGGAAGGATCTCAC